AGTCTCTCAAAAACCAAATTAGTTTGCAAATGAGTGTATTTCGCCAATTTCGTGCAATTTGGTTTCAAGTAGAAGATAAAGTTGACGAAGACTCGGGGACGGCGCCTACCTGATGAGCCTCAAGAGGGGCGAAACCGGTCGTGGGCTGTCGAGGAGTTTTCAGCAACCTTATGAGTAGTGCGTCGAAAAAATAGTTATATTCTAACACCGGTAAAGTAATCTGACTGACCTAAAGTTGGAAAATGATAGAAATTGACAGTATAGTTTAGCAGGTAAGACAGAGAAGTGTCGACTAGTTCATCCAAAGGAAACAAAATAAGATACGTATCTGTCCAGTGCTATCCTTCCAAAGTAACTGGATGAACTCATTGTATGAATCACTTCGGTACGAGCAGACGCGACAGAACTACACGGAAAATATGTGGCCCTTGTGATCTTTTGTCCAGCCTGGTGTAATATCTTCTAAAAGCAACGTCAACATAAAGCACCCAGGTCATGTATGTTTTGAAAAACTTTCTGTGGCCATAACAAATGCATCTTCTGAAAAAAAAACAATTTAGAGAATGCTATTGTCCGAAAACTTCTCAGCATAGCAAGGACCTATGAACGGTTCGACTGATCGAAGACGGACAAGGTGCAGTGGGTGTGCATCCATAGTGTGAGGTCGCCGGAAGGCCGCTCTTGATGCTAACCGCTCTACAACCCGTAGAAGCACCTAAGTGACCTGTGGCAGGGGGGCCCAAGCAGTACTACTCTACTAGAGTTCGAATCGAACACATGGTATGCCGCGCATCCAGCTGTGACCAGTGACGCGTTTATTGAGGCTATTCGGTCGTACCAGTGGACCGAAAAACAAGCGAGTGGTTAGTATTTGACCTAAGTCGTATTCTACTATAAACAGGCACACGCCATCTCGCATAGTTCGAGATGGCGGAAGGTCCGTGGACCTCTGTCTGTCGACTTCTCCTTTCTAGGCTTGGGCAACCTGGCAGTATCCCGGCCCTGGTGCTTTCTTCTGGTGGCATGGAAGTTAGGCACCGAAAGGGCGCTACAGCTGAACGATGCCTACATTACGCATGCGTACAGAACGAGCTGCCGACGACAGCCAACCGCCAAAATCGCCTTTTCAGAGCATACTCCCCGATTAAACTAATCTCCATCTCTGGAAACCAAAATGTGGAAGTGTGGAGATAATCACCCAACCACTGAGGCGATGGGCGTGAGATTCGTTTATGGTATTATTGCCCAGCTGGGTGGGTTGCGCACATACCACCCCATGGTCCCGTTGGGTGGATATTCACGATACCAAAGTATTTCTGTTGGTGTAATACTGCTTCCGTCAACTGAGATTCGGGGGCTACGCCCATCGTACAAGCCCTAAGGAGAGGCAAGAAACATTTCATTAGCCTTACACGGAATTACAGGCCCCGCTGGACGACAAGGCAGGTATTCAACAGCGCTTGCGGGAAAACACTACCAACAAGAGATCCACTGGATAAATTACAAATGTAATACAAACTCCACAAAAGTCAATGTAGTTCTTGAAATTATTCATCCTCAGTATCATTCCGAGATAATCTCATTGGGTTTTCATGCACTATTCTTGCTCTCCAGTTAAATAGCCAACCTTCAGTGGACGGTTAACTTCGTTACAATGCTTAAACGTCTGTGTTAAAAAAAACAGACGGGTTTTACAAAGATAATGCGAAGCATACAAATAACCTAATCCCGGGTGAAGGAGAGTCATCTGCGGAGTTGCTGTTCACAAAACTGGCTGTTACTACTGAAAACAAGAAAGAGAATGGGATACTATAAGGGAGAACCCACCTGGCATCCAAACTGGTCTGTTGTGGTTGTCAGTGTCTGTTTTCTTCCAGATTTCCAGCGATATTCAATCTCACCCAACGGAACGTGGATGTGATAGACCTCGGGGCGAACGGTGGTAACATACGTCGGATTGTAAACTGGCCTGTCCTGCCCCACATGTCCCCAGACAAGGGCCAAGTACTGTTTGCCGACAGCTTTTAAGCTGAATGCTTTGCCCAGCTACAAATGAACAATGTGAAAAATATGCGAGATACCTGGTTTGGGAACTTGAAAACATTTACAGCACTCAAAGAGTAGACATCCGTCTACGGATTGCCCCTTACATCGAACTACGCCTGTGAAACCCGGGACAGAATACGTGGTGTCATACGCGATTTGTGCTGATCCACGTGTGCAAACATAATAACATCTTTCATCCAGTGTAAAATTAAAGCGAGAGGAGGGTGAAAAGTTATAAACCCAGCAACATGTCGAACTGATGGCCCACTAAGTTGACGTACTGCGATATACCTCACTCCACACGAAAAACTCCACCATACACTTACGGAATCTGGCAAAAAACGGGAATTTTAATCAGATTTGTACAGCAGGCGTGGATATGGTTGTTGTCACCTGCGTCTCCCACGAGGAAACATCCTCGATGATAACCGATTCGGGTCCCCGTCAGTCCCTTGTGAAAAAAACAACTGCAAATTGGCCGAGAGACATTTAAATTAATTGACATCGAATCGCAATGTGGTAGCGTCTACAGTAAATTCTGAATCCTTACTGTCGAGAGCAATCAAGTTGTCCTTGCCGGAGTCCGGTTTCTTTAGATCAACACATCAGGAATCTGTGTACGTTTTATTTAATTACATATTCCCACAGCTTAATTGTTGGGACAGTAAAAACTGGGCAATGACTAGATACTTTTGTGGTACGATCGAAACCAAAGTTTACGGAAATTTGTCAAGGGTCTTCCGAGTGTCAACTGCTTTCTTATAGGGTATTCGATCCGACAGCACCCATCTCCACTTCGATGAATACAGATTATTTCATTAGGCCGAACATATACGTGGCGAAAGTGCTGCAGGGTCTGGATGTTAGCTACATCCGAAGTGAACGCATACCACTGCTATAACAAGGGTAGGCGTCTGGGCCGTAAGTCGCAACCCACGCTGTCTTTTCGAGAGGTATCACCGTAAAAAGTCAGTGGGTTGGGGTGCCTATTTCACCTGAATGATAAAGGATTTATGATGTATTTCGATGGGAGAAAATTATCACCTCATCGTCGTCTTCTTGAAATAGCTCCGCTGTGAAGTTTTCGAAGCGGTGGAACACTGGTGATCGATTGCATTTGGAATATTACGTACGGCTGCACTCTAGTCCGTTCCCGCTATGAAAGAATACTGTCCCGAGGATCAAAACTGTATTGTTTACACGTCGTCCCACACTCTCTCGTTTCCGATGATCGTTGCATTTGGAATATTACGTACGGCTGCACTCTAGTCCGTTCCCGCTATGAAAGAATACTGTCCCGAGGATCAAAACTGTATTGTTTACACGTCGTCCCACACTCTCTCGTTTTCCGATGATCGAAACCGTAGCAGCTGGAACCAATGTGTCTGTTTACAGTTGATAGTTTGAATCGAAATGAATTTAATTGTCTGCACGTGGTAAGACTGTGAGGAAATTGAGGGCATTATTAAATATAAGCTCAAGTATAGTTAAGCAAGGTCATGCTGCGGACAAGGCCTGCAATCTGATTCGTTGCATTAGCCTGGCCATCCGTATCGACCGTTGGTAGGCAAATCGTAGCCGTCAGCTTACCAACTCCACTGGGATGCAGCCGACAAATGAATTTTATGGGTTTGCATGAACTGCTCCTCATCACTTTACCACTACTCGATGCTAGAATCTCCGATAATCGGTGCACGTTGGCAACTAAATCACTATTGCGCGTAGCAAAAAGGGTACATAGCAAAACAATGGGTCTTTGGTGCCATCGCAGTAAATGAGGCGAACGACCAGGATTTGAAAAATACGCCGACCGAGTATATCATAAACTTTGACATCAACTTGCAGCTATTTAGTTTAGTTTTAGTTGATGTTATGGCGTTCTTGAACTGGAGAAACTGGCGAGGCGGTGGATACTTAAGCATGAGTTCTAGTTTCAATCGTATGTGCCTATCCTTCTGAAATGCACTTTTGATCAAAGTCGAACAATCACTTTATCCTTATCTGGTTACTAGTTCACCAAGCCACAAAAGTAGATCTGACCCCGGGTTTACGAGTTGGTCGTAAATGTGACTCAAAAAGGCTGATAACACAGTCGTTTCTTTGGACGGAATAACAAGTGGCTGTCTTTGACAAGAAGCCGCCATCGGAATGTGCTTCAAAGACCGACTGAGTTGGGGGTTGTTACTGAGGATGGTCCCGTCAGAATGACACAACTGTACCGTGGGTGGCTAAATTGCTGGTTTACTGGACAACTAATAGTTATGGAAAATCTTGCGAACAATGTGCTAATAATGCATTCGGCAGCTGACGCAACGGAATGTTTAACACACATAGAACTCCAAACCACTGGGGAATACCCGCGAAGAAAAACAGTAATACGATTCATAGGAATAAAAAAGTGCGTCACACTCGGATTAACAGTAGAAGAAGGTATACTCACAAGTCGAGCAGTTTGTTGATCATATGCTACGCATATCAGTCCACTTGTTGCGTAGTCCAACCGATGAACGAAGTAGAACATATTCCCTAACTTCCAACTGACTCGGGAAAGTCGACTGAAGAACAGCTAGGATGTAGGGATCAAGGAGATAAGGATACGAAGAACGCGCTGTAGTTCGGTAGCGAAGTCCATCCGTTGGAGGACTAGTGAACAAATAAACAGTGGCGCATATCAGAATGTTGCATTTATGGGGTGGATTTTCAGAACCCGTAGAGTACCCAGAAACAGCTGGGTTTCTAAATCTAGTGAAAACACAAATCTGCACCAAGGGCAGACTACAAACGTTGTTCACAAAGCCATCATTTGATCTTGTGGGATCTGAACGACCGTTGGACAAAATCGTAACCAATGGGGATATCAGACGCTTATACGTACGCGTCTGCGAACTACAACAAGACGGTTTGAGAGGCATCACAAACTGTGAGCGAGTTTGGCCAAATTAACTGTTTGCCGCCGAACATGACCACTAAATTGAAATCAAAAAAACGAAGATCTGATACTGAGCAAAGACTGAAGAGAAAGATTTCAAAAAAAGCATGAATACTCCATAGGTAAAACTACCCGTCTTCGTTTCAGCTACTAGTTGGAGATGGAAACTATTACACGTGGTGACTGGCTCCTCGAGTGACGGCGTCCTTCATAAGTAGCTGAGAGGAAGAATAAAATTCACCAAATGGGTGAGATCTCCATCTGAGAAGGCGTCACTCGAGAAGCTAGTCAGCACGTGCGACCACGTAATATGGATCCAGTGATTGAAGGATGAGTGATGCTATAACCTATGTGCGACATAACCATACTGGTGATCAGCCGCTCGTTGCTGAGCGGTTGTGTTCAAACCACTAGTCAAGAAATCGCAGGTTCGGAATTCCTGGAGTTTCGTGAGGTGCTCACAGCTGATGATTCCTAATAAAGACGACTCGGCTTTTCAGCGAAGATTAGATTGACTTACAGGACGAAATCCCGATTCGAATTCGCACTGCCGAAAACACGTTAAAAAGATTCGTTAGCGAGTGAGCGACACCACCAGTGATCCTCGGTTGAGAAAATAGGAGGGGAGCAAGCCAAATAGCCTAAGACAGACCGAAGAAGTGTGCTGAACTGCATACGGAATTGTAGAACTTTGTACTATGCGCCCCCTTGGACTGGATACAATCTTGTACATTGTTCCGCTCATCGTTTGCACACGTATGCGCTTGATGTACGCATCTCTTTTGTGCACCGTCATAAGGCATTTTGTGCGCGTGTACTGCGTCATCACAACACGAGTAGGCGTGCTTTGCTCGTTCACTCTGGTTCTAGTTTTGATTCCAACAAGGGGGAATGTCGATTAAGAATTAGACCGAGTCATCGAACGACGCGAAGTTCAGGTTAAACACGCGCTACTAGTGTAAAGCGCTCACAAGATGGTCGTCATACTTGAAGAAAGTGAAGTTGCTCCCTGGCTAGTATCAGGGTGGTCCCACTTTGAGTCACACTGAAACTACGGGAACCGGGGAGAAAATTCACATTTCACGGTTTGTAATGCAAGTCAGCACCCCCCCCCCCCCCGTCTAGTTTGTTCCTTTGACACAAACAAATTTCCCCAAACGGACATCCTAGAAAAGCTACAGAAAACTTAAAAATGATGCAAATGAAATTTCAGTTTACCATGAACGGGGAAGGTAGCAATAAGGCCATACCTGCATCTGGAGGGAAAGACAATACGCCCAGGGCCATTGATGGTTAATAAGCAGGTCCGGGTGTTTGTCAACAACGACTAGACCGTCTCCCTCATACACAATCTTTAAATCCTTCAAACCAATCCACCGCTCCCGTCTTTTGATACAAACTTCGTAGAACATGAGCAGATTCCACATACAGAAAATGTAGAGCTTCAACAAACAGATGGAAATTGTTTGAAAACGACCTTGGAGCTGCATGTTCGGAATCAACTGCGCTGGGACAACATACGGTGAAGCGGAACCCACATCGTTTTTGTCCAAATAACACTAAAGCATGAAAAAATAAAAACAATAACTGCCAGAAGTAGCGAACAGCGGGTGTCATGTACGATACAATTCGGAAGTAAAAATCAAGCATCATGAGTCATCAGTTAGTGAACATTCAGTATTCACAATATGAGCGGTGACATGAGAATAAAAATCGTCCCAGCTTCCGGAGCCTAGCTGCCATGCTACCCGAATGTAGCAAGAGGGATAAAATAACGCCAGGCTGTCATATGTGGACGGGGGAAATCCGGATGCAGAGGTCGGATACCAACCACAAACTTTATGGTCAGCAAATTAGCGCTCTAACCAGTGAGCCACCTTGTTCTCTCAGGAATAACACATTTTTATCATCACCATGGACAGCATGAGATAAGCATTCAACACTTATGCTATACTGTCGCACAACCATGATTTATTTCAAAGCCTCATTGTGAAGAAAAGAATAAAGGTGGACAGGGAAGGGACTTACGACAGTGAAGTATCAGTGTCAACACGGAAGTTGCTATCTTTGAAAATGATGAGGGAAGGGACTTGGTGATAGTTCATTTCGAGGTGTCCACACCTTCAAATACTCACTCAGACAATTTGAATAGAAACTGACAACACGAAGCTAAGTCTCACAGCCATACGACAAAACAGCCCGCACTGTAGCCTTATACACACGCCCCTTAGGATTCACGGATATACCACTCCGACGCCATACGCGACCCAAATTAGCAAAAGTGACCCGAGCCTTGCAGATTCGTGAACTGACCTCATCTGTCACATTGCAGCCAGAGCTAATACAACTTCCGGGGTACGTAAAACGCTTCACAACCTCCAGTACCTCTACCAGGATTGCAAGTGGCGTGCCCAGTTACTGCATGTCCACTTTGTGAGTGTAAACTTTGGTCAGTTCATCCAGAAGCGCCTCCGCCTTCTTCTCGAAGGCGGGAACGATATCGCCTGCATATTGCACATTGACAAAATTTTCGTCAGGGGCTATTTGGAGTGCCCGATGCACGTGTGAAAAATTCAGACAAACTATTTTCCCCAGTCTCAAATCTGGCGCAATGGGATATGAGTGTTTGCCGAAATGTATCCCATGAAGACAGCAAGCGTCGGACATGGTTAAACTGTTAACAGTCAGGAGATCCGGAGAACACGGAACGTTGATGTGGAATACCAAAGTAGACACACATGCAAGCGACCTTCTTAGGACTTGCTGATCAAATACATCAGGAAACGCAAACACAGTTGCTCAGATTGATGTGATGTAAGTTACATGCCGTCTGGAAAAATTTTATGACGCTTGTTTTCAGCGTCCTCATGATTATGAATAGAACAACGTAAGAGCGATCTGCTGCTGAACTTACGATACACAAAGCCTAACAAGGAGTTTTGAAAAAAATCGTTGCTCCTAGCATACTTCAACTCAGCCACTAGGACAGACAGCAACAATGGATCCATTACTATGCAAGAGTATAAAGTTTATTTCCAAAAATTCTACGGAATCAAGTGCTATCACACATAGTAGACTCTAGATAGTCTGTGCTCAATAGCATCCAGTCAAACTAGATGAACTGATTAAACACCAGCTATCATAAATCTCTTAATAAGCCAAGAGAGGTTCATCATGATTCCAGGAGGGGGAAACATCTTTACGTTCAACCGTGTCAATTATACTGTTCTACTGAGTACGGCGGTACTCAGGGATACACTCCTTTGCCACCATAAGTGTCTCAAGTTGGCAAACGCTACCCAAGCCTTAGAGATTCGAGCATAGGCCTAATCCCTCACACTACAATCAGAATTAATACATCCTTCAAGATACGTAAAGCGCTCCACAACTTTTAGGGCCTCTCCCTGGATTGTAAGTAAAGTTTAGTAACTGGATGCCCTGGAGCATGACCTTAAACTTTGTAGGTACAGTGCGCATGCCAAAGGAAGATATGTCTTCGAGCAGTTTATCCAAAATCACCTGCACCTTCTCCTCTCCGAAAACAACAACGACCTCGTCTGCGTACTCCAGATCAACGAGTCTGCCATCAGTACCTATTCGAATGCCAGGGTTTCGAAGATCCTCCAGGGTTCGTCTCATTATCTCATCGATCACGAAATTAAATGAGAATGGAGAAAGTGGGCACCCCTTACGGGCACCGACTTGCGTGCGGAAGCGTCTGGAGAGCTTTCTGTACACTCTTACACGACCGGAATTCTGGAAGTACGAGAAACATATTGTGTTCACAAACTTCCGAGGCATTTCTTGATGGTCATGCGTGTTAAGGAGAACCGACCGGTCAACTATATCGGATGTGGCAATGTAGGCAATTTGAGTTTGTGGCCGGCGTGCCGTTGGAGGACACCATGTGGCCAGACGACTTCAGCTATTTCGGAAGTTACTACTGCATAAAAACAGCCTGCAGTTAACACACAGCTGAAGCAATCGTTCACCATTGTCCGTTCTTACCGAGTCCAGTTCGACCACTTTATTGAGTTTCAGATGCGCTAATCCTGTCCACTTGTACTTTTAGATCTCCAACAACCACAATGATATCTGGGCTTTTAGCTATCCCCAAACAGAGCATTCAGGACGTCATAAAACTTGACTTTGATGGTGTCAGAGCTGCAGCCAGACGAACCGCGCAAAGATTATTATCAGCGGGTATCCAGTCAGCCGAAGATGCTTCCGCCCGGCGACTTAGGATGATACCAACCTATGAAAATCCTGCCGCAGCAGCCTCTGAATCGCCGGAGGCAACCGGAAAGGAGTGGATAGTGCTGGGGCGCTTAGCTCAACCACTGTGCTTGTATCATGAATTCTTGTTTCTAATACACAGCACACATCAACGCCAAGCGAGTCTAGTGTGACAGCAAGAGCAGCTTGTTGACCTGCCTGCTTCTGAGTTCGGACATTAAAGGCGATCAGATAGACTGAACGTCGAGACTTGAAGGGGGCGAGATGGCCCAAGTGGTTAGGGCGCGAAATTGCTGACCGGAAAGTCCGTGGTTCGAATCCGCCCTCCGCCACTCGACCTCCCCTGTCTAGGCTTGGGCAACCTGGCGGTATCCCAGTCCTCGTGCTTCCTTCGGGTGGCATGGCAGCTAGGCACCGGAAGGGTGCTACAGCTGAACGATTTCTTATTTCTTTCGAGACTTGAAGATTGATTTCGAGATGTCTGAAGATACTGGCGCCGGATGATGCGCAGATGTTGCTTGCAAAACCGTTTCAGGACAAATGGAGTCATCAGTCCTATGTGCTGGGCCTACAAAAAGAGAGTTATTATTGGGGTGGGGGGCAAGATGGCTCAGTGGTTAGAGCGCGAATTTACTGACCGGAAGGTCGGTGGTTCGAACCTGACCTCCGCCTCTCTATTTCCCTTGTCTAGGTATGAGCAACTTGGTAGTATCGAAGCCCTCGTGCTTCCTTCGGGTGGCATGGCAGCCAGGCGTCGAAATGGTGTTACAGCTGAATGGTGAATGTTAATGGAGTGGGGAGAAGGGGAAGAAAAAGTATGTGAAACAGAAAGGCGGGAGCATCAATTTTAGCCCGTTTTCGATTAACAACTCTTTTGAGTTCGTGGCCGGCAGCCCGTTGGAGGACGCCACATGGCTAGAAGACTTCGGCTATTTCGGGAGTTGGTGCTACATGAAAGCAGCCCGCGGTCAGCTCACAGATGAAACACTTGTTCACCAGTGTGTATGTACCAAACCCAATCCACGTCAACCAGCTAATCGATGCGCTAAGTCTGCACACTCGTGCATTCATATCTCCACTAATCACGACATATGGGCCTTCAGCTCGCCCAAGAGGACACCTATGGCGCATAATCTGTCTTTGATCGTCAGAGCTAGTCAGTTTGGGCATAAGCAGATACGATAAACATACATCGATCAAATTACCCCTTATGAGACTGCTTCACAGACGTTGCCAGACGAACCGCGCAGATGGGACCATCAATGGGTATCCAGTCAAACAAGGATCCTTCCGCCTGATGGCTTAGGACAATATCAACCCCTGAAAATCCTGCCGCAGCAGCCTCTGAATCGCCGGAGGCAACCGGAAAGGAGTGGATAGTGCTGGGGCGCTTAGCTCAACCACTGTGCTTGTATCATGAATTCTTGTTTCTAATACACAGCACACATCAACGCCAAGCGAGTCTAGTGTGACAGCAAGAGCAGCTTGTTGACCTGCCTGCTTCTGAGTTCGGACATTAAAGGCGATCAGATAGACTGAACGTCGAGACTTGAAGGGGGCGAGATGGCCCAAGTGGTTAGGGCGCGAAATTGCTGACCGGAAAGTCCGTGGTACGAATCCGACCTCCGCCACTCGACCTCCCCTGTCTAGGCTTGGGCAACCTGGCGGTATCCCAGTCCTCGTGCTTCCTTCGGGTGGCATGGCAGCTAGGCACCGGAAGGGTGCTACAGCTGAACGATTTCTTATTTCTTTCGAGACTTGAAGATTGATTTCGAGATGTCTGAAGATACTGGCGCCGGATGATGCGCAGATGTTGCTTGCAAAACCGTTTCAGGACAAATGGAGTCATCAGTCCTATGTGCTGGGCCTACAAAAAGAGAGTTATTATTGGGGTGGGGGGCAAGATGGCTCAGTGGTTAGAGCGCGAATTTACTGACCGGAAGGTCGGTGGTTCGAACCTGACCTCCGCCTCTCTATTTCCCTTGTCTAGGTATGAGCAACTTGGTAGTATCGAAGCCCTCGTGCTTCCTTCGGGTGGCATGGCAGCCAGGCGTCGAAATGGTGTTACAGCTGAATGGTGAATGTTAATGGAGTGGGGAGAAGGGGAAGAAAAAGTATGTGAAACAGAAAGGCGGGAGCATCAATTTTAGCCCGTTTTCGATTAACAACTCTGTTGTATGCAGCGAACAGGGCGACCCGACTGACGGCACCACACGACGGCCGATGCAGTTTATGATTGTACGTGGGACGGAATACTGCCAGGGCGCCCACACCTTGACAGTAGGACGACTAGGGTCCTAAACCAAAGCCTTTGGCCCAGAAGCCTGACCGCGATTCAGCGGTGTTTGAGTGAGAACACAAGTACATTACCATTTTTACGGAAAACGTTCCCCACATTTTTCCAACCTCCAACCTGAAATACCAGTAGACTACGTCAGTCAGACTTCTAACCATTGATCAACCTGGTATGAGACTCTGCGAGTGTCTCGCGGATACATTCCAGTGTAGCTTGATGTCCCGCCGAGGTATACCAACAATCACACCACAGTAAGGTCCATTCTCGTGACGGATAACATACAGGAATAACAACGACGAATCGAATAAAAATTTTGTAAACCTAAATGAGTTCGGGACAGCAAGTAACGTTTTAGGGTAGGAAACGCGCATGTTATATCTCACAAACATGCGCACAAAACGATGTACAAATGGTCAAATATACGTACACTACCCCACCCTCAGTAAGGTCACCTCCCAGGTATAGTCACACGAAATTCAGGTTGGAATTGATGCCCATTAGGGGGCCAGTCTCAACTCAACAGAAGCTACTCTACATTCCGAAAGATGCCACTCCCCCCTTCAAAAAAAAATAAGTGTGTAAAACTCTTGAACTGAGTTGTCTTATGATACGATTTAAACACTGACATCCACAGGCACATTCTGCCGGATACCAGGGTTCCAACCAGATGCTTTCGGAGCTTCTCGAAAGAACAACCTCTCGCTAATAATTGTAGCAGGAAAATATAAACGTGCAGATCACAAGGCTAGTTAACTAATCATGCTTCAGTACAATGGATAACGATTAATCTCAGTTCCTAAAACAACACAAATTAAACCAGGATTTTAACATAGGGTCGACCCAAAAATAAAAATGCTTCAAAGCTGGAAAACGTCAGCTTTGCACATTGACCCGCCCAATCCAATATATTGATTTTTGATTATATATTAACGGCACTCGTGTAAGCCTCCTCCCAAGGGCTCACCAAAACCCTGTCCGAAGACCGTTCAGAAGATGACTGGCCGGAAAATGGTGATAGGTGAAAAAGGTAGGGAGATGGATAAGGCCTTTGCCAGTCAGCATCATCATCAAAGACAGTAACATCAGTATTGACACTGATGCTTCATTGCCGTACATCCATTATGTCCGTCTAGTTTGTATATATATATATATTAAGAGCCCTAGAGTGAAGAGAAGAGAAAAAGGGTGGGTGAGAGAGTGGACCTAGTCCTGGCATTCTGAGGTGCCCACACCTTCAACCGCTCAATCAGACAATCTGGAAAGAAACTGACAGCACAAACGCCACTGACATCGATTAGCCGCCAGTTCTTGCAAAGCCTCCAGTCAAGCACAAACGGGGTCACGGGGATCCCATCCTGGAAGGCGTACAACACCAACAAAACACAAACTCTCCGTGATCTCTTTCACGCCTTTCAGCCAAGTCATGTGCTGTCCACCTTGCGGTTTGTGCCACCCTGAGGGAACACGGAGAACAACACTCGCCTCGGTAGACGGTGTTTCGGCATGCGTAGCACATGACCGAGCCATCGTAGTCGACTCATCATATGTCCGCAGAGGCCATATGTCGCACCCATTCAACAACATAGCCCTTACTGTAGCCTGGTACACGCGACTCTTAAGATCTAGTGACGCCTGTTTGACACCACAAGTGACGCAAATTAGCAAACGTTATATGAGCCTTTGAGATTCTTGCACTTACTTCATCAGACACACTTCCATCAGAGCTAATACAACTACCGAGGCATGTAAAGTTTTCAACAATTGCCAGTGATTCTCCTTGAATTGTAGGGGATATGTTTGCAGACGGTACGTTCTGAAGCACGGCTTTGCACTTTGAAGGTGCAAGGCGCATGCCAAAAGATGGCATAATGGCGGTCAGTTTGTTCAACAAGGTGTGTGCTTTGCTTTGGTCTTCAAAGATGAGGGCGATTTCATCTGCGTACTCCAAATCGACAAGACTCTCACCAGCAACAATTTGAACACCGAATACCATCTGGTGTTCACCTCACTATTTCATCAATGACGAAGTTGAACAAAAATGGAGAGAGTGGACATTCTTGTCTGACACCATTTTTTGTAAAGAAGCTTTTGGAGAGCCCACTAAACACTCACTTGCCAAGAAGTACGTGAATATAGTGGTCGGATTATGTTTACATACTTCTGTTGAGGAATTGTAGTTAACAGCAGTGACCGATCAACAGAATCAAACGCACCCTTGAAGTCAAGGAATACCAGGATTGTGGGTCGTCTGTACATGTGGCGTTGCTCTAACAACTGACGAAGTGTGAAGATGTGGTCAATGCAGCCTCTTCCCGGTCGAAATCCCGAGTCAAGGCTTCGCGTGCCACCGTAAGACGACGAAGAATCAGTGACACCAGTAGCATTGTCATAACAGGCGTCAAACTAAAATCTCTGTGGCGGCTACATTCACTGCGAGTACCCATTTTGAAAACGGGCACCACTATCGATTCACCCCAGTTGTCTGGTACGGTCTCCTTCTCCCAGATAGACCCAAAAATACATTCGGACACTTCTGAGACTGAAGGCGGCTCCATATTTACGGTCCACCTTTCTGTTGAAGGCCATGTTTCTGGATTGAAGGTAGCAGACGGCCAGCTGAATTGCTGCTCGAAGTACTGTGCCCAGCAGTCCAAACGTCCTACTTTGCTGCATATCAGGGAGCCATTTTGGTCCCTGGTTATTTTCCTGACAAGAGGTTTTCGAGGACCAGTCGAACGAATTAAGTGGAACATTTTGCGCACGTCTCCAGCATTCTCCGCATCTTTCATTTCTTCGGCCACCAAGCTTCTCGGTCTGCGCAGAAACTCAGTTTTACCTGGCATCAGATGCGCCAGGTAGAGTTGTGGTGGCGGCTAGGTGGAATCTGTCGTCGGGTTTCTAGCACAGACATGGTCCTATCAGAGATCCAATGCTTGGATGAGGTTGGCTGGATTATACCGCAAACAGACATTCCGGGTTTGAGTAGCGCTTTGGATATTTTCTACAAGTGGCCGTTTACCTCCGATACCGCGCCGTCCTGCAGACATTTGAGGAGCTGGTTTTGATGGCTTCGTTTGACTTCTGGGTCCACTAGCTTCCTAATGGCTAAGCGGGATGCGGGCGATTCCCGCACGCCTGAAAAGCGCAATGAAAAGCAGCAGCGTACGAGTGCATGATCAGAGTGCACTTTGGTGTTCCAGAAGGAGCGGCAGGCGGTGATTGACCTTCGCCACCAATAACTGACAGCGATGTGGTCTATTTGGATTTGGGGTTGGTTTGTTGATGGGCACCACGTTGTCAAGCGATTTCTGCTGCTCCGGAAATTCGTACTGTAAAGGAACAATCTGTGATCGGCACACATCTGAAGTAGGCGGTCTTCGTTGTCCATGCGTCTCATGTCCAAAGCAAGACGACCACCCAATCGGGCCTCAGCAACGCTAAGTCTACCTACCTGGGCGTTCATATCACCAGCGACCACAATGATGTACGAGCTTTTAGCCTGCTGTAGAAGGACATCTGGAGCGTCATTGAAACTGTCCTTGGCAGATTCAGAGCTACAGTCAGTTGCGGCGTAAGCAGACACAATAAACAAGATGCTATGAATCTCACTTCCTCCAGATTTTCTCACAGACGTTGCTAAACGAACCGCACAGAGGCGACCACCAATGGGTATCCAATCAGGCAGAGAAGTTTCCACTCGTTCACTCAATACAATACCCACCCCAGCATATCCAGCTGCAGCGGCTTCTGCATCACCAGAGGTGCGCAGCCGGAACCCGGAAGAGAGTGAGGGGACACTCAGTTCAGTCACAATACTTGCGACCTACGTCCTTGTTTCTGACAGACAACGTATACTAATGCAGAGGGAATCCAGCGCACACGCAAGAGCCACCTGTAGATATGCTTACCTCAGTGTGCGAACATTGAAGCTGGCTAAGTAGACAGGCTTTCGTGGTTTGAAAACAGACTTCGAAGTGTTTAGGGTTGTGATTGAACTCGGACGTACAAAAGCTGCAGCTAAGTGCGATACAGGGCGAGCAAAACGGCCAGTCCTAGAGCTGGGACTTACGGAGAAAGTATTCACATTTGGGCGGAGGATGGTGGAAGACGGGAAAAGTGAAAGTGTAAAAAGAGAAGCGTCAGCAGTAGCTTAGTCGCTTAGTCGCCCTGCTGTGTCCAGCAAGTGAGGCGATCCGGTTGATGGCACCACGCGACGGCCGATGTGGCATGAGTGTATTGTTAGTCGTGAACGCCATGGTTGTACGAAGGCTGGGATACTGCCAGAGCGCCCACACCTAACACGAGTGTTATATGCTGACGTGTTAAACCGTTTACTCGCTATTCGTCAAACTAATTGTGATTCCTTACGTTTTAGCTGATGTACTGAAATTGTTAGAAGATTGAAGTCAATCATTCGGCAATCTTCGTTCTCTATTTCTGGCACAATCATTCGAGTGCGCAACAATTTAATCTAACAAAATACAATGGAACGATTGTTTCGCCCAGATCGGTTTGACGCCGGTCCCCGATTCTCTTCTGCTCCAGAACAATGGATCCACTGGCACGAAAGGCTTACAAATTTCCTCTCATGCATCGAACTCCAAAATGTTGACAAGAAAACTTTCGGTAAATTTTCTTTCTCCGTCCGTCTATCAACATGTTCGCGAATGTACTACTTACGAAGACGCCAACCAGACGCTCGGAACGATGGACATCAAACCCAAAAATGAAGTGCTTTCTCGCCACGTGCTGGCTACTGCTAAACAAGAACCGGGTCAGTTAGTCGTTGCTTTCCTGCAAAAATTACGTTATCTTGTCATGGACTGCAATTTTCGTGAGGTTTCTGCCGACGAACATCGGGACAAGGCTATTCGAAACGTTTTTATCACAGGTTTGCAGTTTAATTACGTTCTCCGACTACTAGAAAAAACACTCTTAAACTTCAACAGCATTTGATGAGGCACGTCCAATTGAACATTCTAAACAACGGTTACTCCCATATTCCCTCTCATATTCCCTGTGGTGCCGCATCTATCAAAACTGATAAACCTTTGACTCGTGAAGCACTTATTTCGCAGACTGACTCTAATGACGCGATTTCAAGTACATCGTTATTTTGATTATTCTGTGACAACGGCAAGCACATTCGTTCAAAATGCCCGGCTCGTGAATCTTTCTGTCATTCCTGCGAAATGAATTTCCAAAAAGTTGGTCTATCCAAACCGAGCTCAAGTCGCATCACATCGTCGGTGGACCC